CAAAATCTCTCTTAGAGCTAGGGATTTTGACAGCCTTTTTAACAAATGGTGTTGGCAAAATTGGAAAACCATCTTCAGAAAATTCAAACTAGACCCACACCTCACACCATACACAAAAAAACCAACTCAAAGTGGAGCAGGGACCTAGGACTAAAACCAAGAACTATAAACTTTATTAGAGAGAAGCTTGTAAGAACCACAGAAGCACTATTCCACAACATGAACAGTCTTCCAAGCATCCTGAAAAACCTATAACCAGGAATAGATAAAATAGTTTAATGGGACCTTCTAAGAATCAAATCCCTATGCACCCGAACTCTTAACTCTTACCTATGGGTTTAATACTGTTTGCCTTTCCACTGCTCCTTAGGACCTTGCAAGAAAGAATCTGGACATCTACTTCCCACACCTACATTTCTGATAAGGAGCCCTGGCACAACGGTTAAGTGGTCTGTAGCTTTCTAAAGGTCAATGGTTTGAACCCACTCTGCAGCTCTAAGACACAGCAAATTGGTCCCATAAGATTACAGCCGAGGAAAGTGGAAGGGGAGTCCTATTCTGTCATATCACTATTGTTGTTATTGTTAAGTGCCATCAAGTCAACTCACAGAGACCCTACAACAAAATATCTGAACCTTGCCCTATCTTTCAACTATTCTTATGATCTCTGATATGCTCAAACTCATCGTTACAGTCACTGGGTCAGATCACTACAGTCAGAATTTACCTTACAGCACACAACAGCATTTTGTCTGCATATGTACAAAATTAAAATGGGGGGGAAATGGAAGAATGACATTGGATATGCAAAATGAGGAACTGCAAGGTGTAAAGAGTTGTTTTAATGTCACAAAACGTTATCTGTAATGCACGATATTAAAATGAAAAGGTAAAAGACAAATGTCAACAAGTGGGAAAGCTTACCTTTGAAGAATCAACTGTGCTTGATTTTCGGAAATATCTATACCCAATGTTTTGAGAGCATCGACAATTTCCAAAGCCTCAATTTTCCCTTTAAAAGATAAAAATAGCATATACTGAGAGTAGAAATTATAAGGACTTTAGGAACCATAAATTTTAAATCCTTGATTCTGTAAGAAAAAGCCTGAATTAAGACAAACTGAATTGGGTTATGGTTTTGCTTGACCACACACTGCAACACTGATGTTGTTAGGATTTATCAAGGTGGCTCTGACTCATGGTAATCCTGTGAGCAACAGAACAAAGCCTTGCCCAAGCCAACATCAACCTCATAAACTCCACTGTGCTAAAGCCTGGGGTTGCAGTCACTGTGTCAATTACGTTGAGTAATATTAGTACTCAGTATTTAACAAACGTATTAAATACTCATAGGTTGATCATTTAACAATCACAATAGCCCTCTAGGTAAATAATATTAATCCTTTTAAAGAGAAAAAAAGAGCGAGCCCAAGATTTAAGTGATATTCTCAAGTAACACACTCAAGCAAAGGTTCAAATGGAGAGATTCTGGTTCTAGTAAATTCAATTAAACTCAACTCATGGTCAGTAGATGGAACTAATTCATAGCTGATTCTCCAGCAGGTTTCCATAGGCTGTAAATCACACAAGAGGACGTTGCTCAACCTTCTCCAAAGGAGTAGCTGGTGATTTTGAACTACTTGCCTTTGGGTTGGTAGAGAAACTTCAAACCCACTTATATTGTTATGTGACTTTGAGTCAACCACAATTCGAAAGATCTGAACATGGGCCAATCCTGCACCATAATCTCAGTTAAGCTCATTGCATTATGGTAGTAACTGTGTCAAACCATCTCACTGAGGGTCTTCCTCTCTTTCACTGACCCAATAATGTTACTCTCCATAGAATAGTTCCTCCAAAAATATGCTCAATGTACATGAAATGACGTTTCAGCATCCTTACCTCTAAGGAGCATTCAGTTGCACTTGCTTCAAGGAACACTTGTTTGTTCTTTCGGCACCTAATGGTATTATCAATATTCTTCACCAACACTACAAAGGCATTGATTTCAGATGCACAGGAGCAACTGAAGATACCATGGATAGGATCAAGTGCACCTTAGTCATCAACGGACATCTTTGCTTCTTTTACAACTTCTACTGATTTCCCCATTGTAACACATCCTTTAATTTTGTGAATGCTGTTATCAGGGAAAGAGTGCATCAGGGATGCATCCTGTCTCCATACCTTTTCAATTTATATACGGAATAGATTACTCAGGAGGCTGGACTGTATGAGGAGGAATGTAGCAACCGGAATGGACAAAGATTCATCAACAACCTGCATTATATAGATGACGTAACCTTGTTTGTCAAAACTGAGGGAGACCTGGCCCATTTCCTGCAGAAGGCCAAGGACCGCAGGATCCAATATAGACTGAAGCTCATCATCAAGAAGACAAAGATTCTCACCACTGGGTCAACTGGCAGCACCACAACATATGAAGAAGAGATAGCAGTTTTAAAAAATTCTGACTGCACTTGGCTTCACAATCAACATTCTTGGCACCAGCAACCAGGAAATCAAGAGATCAATTAGACCAAGGAAGTATTCTGTCAGAGACCTCTCCAGAGTGCTAAAGAGGGACTAAGGTGCACCTGAACCAGGCATGGTCTTCTTAATTACTTGCTATGCATCAGAGTGCTGGACAATGACTAAGGATGACAGAAGAATTGATTCCTTTGAGTTGTGGTGCTGGAGAAGAGTACTGAACATGCATACCACGGACTGCCAAGAGAACAAACAAGTCTGTCCCGGAAAGAGTGAAACCAGTTCTTTGGAGGCAAGGATTTTGTAGCTTCATCTCACATATTTTGGGCATGTGGACAAGAGGCACCAGACCTTAGAAAAGGACATTATGTTTGAAAGAGTGGAGAGATCGCTCAGGAGAGGAAAACCCCAGATGAGATGAATTGACACAGTAACTGGAGCAAAGAGGGTACGTGTGTCAGAGTGAGGAGAGAGGGACGGGTTCAGGATAGGGCAAGGTTCAGAGCTATTGTTCACAGGGTCACAAGCAACTTGATGGCACTTAAAAACAACAACTGCTATTATCATGGGTGTTTATGGTGGAAGCAAGAGTCCAGGGCAATTTCAATCTTTTCTCCATCTATCATGATGTTGCCTACTCGTTCAGTGGTGAGAATTTTTGTTGTCCTGATGATGAGATACAATCTATAGTGAAAACTTTAAATCTTTGATCTTCTGCAAGCAAAGTTGTATCATCTGCATAATGCAGAGTGTTAAATCTTCCTCTTATCCTGATGTCCCATTCTTCTTCACATAATGCAGTTTCTCAAATTATATGTTTAGCATACAAACTGAATAGGTATGGAGAAAGGATACAATCCTGAAGCACATCTTTCCTGGTTTTAAACTATACAGCATCACCATGCTGTGTTCAAACAACAGCTCTTGATCTAGGTATAGGCTTGGCATAAGTGTAATTAGATATTCTGTAATTGCTAGTCTTCAATTCCTATTCTTCTCAGTGTTAGTCATAATCTGTTATGATTCGCATAATCAAATGACTGTGTGGTCAAGAAAACACAACACCTTTGTGTTATTTTCTGCTTTCAGCCAAAATCCATCAAACATCATCAATAATATCCCTCATGTTATGGCTTCTTTTAAATCCAGCTTGAATTTCTAGCAGTTCCCTATTGGTATACTATTTCAGCCATTTTTTAAAAAATCGTCAGCAAGATTTTATGTGCATGTATATTAATGCTATTATTTGATTACAATATTCGACTAAGCCACCATTAATTTTAAAAGTACATATTTGTACATCTTAATAAGTATTAGTCATACATGTGTTATGTATAAAGCTGTACTATATTGATTAAGGAAAAAGTAGATAATGGGAAAATAGAGCCAAAGAGTATGGGCAATTCCTTTATGAAAGCTGACAACAGAACTTGAGCTGAGAAAGAACAAGAATTGGAGGGATTATCAGGATTAAAGAAATCAGATTATGATTATAGATAGAAGAGTAAATTGAGAGTAAAAAGAAACAAAAAATATAGCAAAAATGTGTAAGTAACACAGTACTTCCCTTGAGCAACTTTTAGACTTAGAGGGAGTCTAAGACTAAAACTGAGAAACAAAACAAGGTAATGGGAATCTCAAATCAGCCCTGCATCAATAGCAGTGACTTCCAGGAAAACAAAGTCACTGGTAGATATTAATGAAAGAGAAAGATTGCATTTAAAAGAAAGACCTTGTAAAACCAGGATAACCAGTGAGATGCATGGATATACAAATTGTTTCAGCTGATGTTCATGAAGAGCAATAGGGTAACGAGTACTTAGACCTGTGCCATTAAGGAAAGGAAATCCTATCTAAAAAGGTGCACTTATGTACCAGAGCTATGTCAAACCATCTTTTGGGTCCTCTGTTGGAAAAGTAGAATCAATCTCAAATAATGCCTTTTTAATGGCATCCTCTAGTATTATAGAAGTAGAACCATACTATATCATATTCTATGAATGGAAAATATCTAACACTTGCTCTATGAAATCTAATAGTGACTGTGCTAGATCAGAGCTGGGTTTTTAAAAAGTACGTTATCCCAGACTGTTTTCTTTCCAGATGATGACTGAGAAGCTTAAAAAAAAATTGGTGGTAGGTACCACACAACAATAACAGAACTTTGCTGTATTTTGAGGTATTCTTCTATACTTTTTTTTTTTTTTTAGTATGCTGGATGTGACTCAGTATATTCCTTCCATCTTTTTTTAATACTTCCGGGATCATTTAACATTCTGCCGAAAGC